CCTTTCCGCTTAATCTGTTTCCCTGGCCCTGTTTCCTCTGGAAGCTTATTTAAAGTCCGCCAATTTGACGCTCCACAGGTGCAGGCGATTACGCCGTGGGGAGTCACATCCGTATGGGCTTTTCAGAATAACGGATCATATCCGTATGGGCTTTTCAGAAAAAAGCACAATACACTCCAGTGTGCAATACATGCAATAAAACACAAATAAAAACTTTACACACTAAACCAGAAATATTGTTAATTAAAAAACGACACCGGGGTAAAAAGACCACACAATCAACTCTTCTCTTATACCCCATGCGACACTAGCTACTCTAACCTCCATTCTACACATATGAGATTACATCAACTCTAAGAAACTATCTCGCGGACCAAGAAACCCTGGCTCAACACAGAGGCAAAGCTAACAACATATTAGTTCACGCCACTCGCCTTAAATCCATGTCCAGATCTTGGGGATGCTTCCAGAGCCATACATACAGCAGCCACCTCGACCACTCAAGGCAGAGAATCCCAGATAACATTATTAAAATTTTCCTCAGCCAGATGCTTCTTCCTCCAGCGTAACCACAGACCAGACACATATCAAAACCTGCTGGGTCTAAACAAAAGATAGGGGAAGAGACTCAGAATCTCAACACCCACTTGTTTCCTCCATCAGCTCGCCCAGAATTCCTTCCGTCCGTCCATCCATCCATCCACTTGGGGGCGAACTGTAATAAAAGTCATTTATCTGTGAAATACAGTTAATTATGCCTGCCTTTTGTATATTATAACTGTTTTTGACAGTTTACCAATACTTATACACTGATAAACACATTTATTCAACGTTTGTGTTGTGAAGACTTCCCAGAATGTATACAAGATATCTGCGTGTCAAAACAAAACCATTAAAATGACTTTAAATTATTAAATACTTATTTACTGCTTAATGCTCCTAATTGACATATTTATAAATGTATTTACACAGCCATTAAACTAATTCATCAGTTTAATCTATTAAATAAACAGTAAATATTGCAAGAAAATATAGATTTGAAAATGTTTTTAAACTGTCTTTATAAATAAGACGAATTTTAAGATATTTACAGTTTACAGATCTGCTTTACATTATTTTAAGTTGGAAAAGAGCGCAAATACCGAACCAATCAGACAGTTTCTCTGTTCTGGTTCTCTATTGTGCCGAGCAGGGCTAAACCTAAAGGGTCATTGTGCCGGGCGTCGCCAAAGTCACAGGGACGCGACACCTTCTTGATTTTAAGCGCGGTGCTAAAAAATATGTTTAAAATTACACTGTAAAAACAGGAGTAAAAGCAGTAAAAGTACGCTAAAAAAGACTTTCTTTAGTCATTGAATCTGACATGATATTTGAACTTTTATTTATGTTGTGGGAAAAACAATAGTAAAAACTTTAAGAATGTTTTTTACTTTTTACGGTAACATTTTCAATTTAAATTGGTTTCAACCATTTTTTCTGAGTTAATTAACTTAATCACCATCACGTATTTATTATTTAATATCTAAACTCTGAGAGCTGACACAAACTGTGATTAGAACAATGGCGTCAAATATGACGAAGAGAATACCCCATAAAACACTAAACAATAAAAAACATAATACAGACAGAAGATTGTATAAACGTTATTAAAATATCAGCAAAAACCTGATCTCTGATCATTTGACCTGCTGATTCTGTTATTTCTTCGGTACTTGGCCCCAAAAACCTCAGAGCTCACTGTCTAAAGATATAGCTACTCCTAGATGGCATTACCTTGGCCCTCTAGCACCTACTGCTCAGGCATCTTGCGAGGTATCTTTGATAAGGATTTGTCATTGTACTCCCACATCAAAAGCAGATCTCCAGGACTGCCTTCTTTCATTTACGTAATATTACAAAAATTAGACCACATCTTATCACAGACAGATGCCCAGAACTAATCCATGCCATTTGGTTACTTCAAGGCTGGACTACTGCAACTCTTCTTATTATCAGGTTGCCCTAATAAGTCATTAAAACGCTCCATTAATCCAAAACGCCGCAGCACGAGTACTGACAGGAACTTAGGAAAATGAGATCATATCTCTTCCTGCTCTTAGCTTTTCTCTGCACTGGCTCCCTGTAAAATTTAGAATAGAAATTTAAAATCCTCCTCCTCACCTATAAAGCCTCTTCATGGTTCAGGCCCTTCATATCTTGAAGAGCTCATATACCCTATTACCCCTTCTAGCAACACTACGTTCTCTGAATGCTGGGCTACTTGTGGTTCCTATAGCTCTAAAAGTAGAACAGGAGCAGACCTTCAGCTTACCAAGCTCCTCTCCTGTGCGAACCAAGCTTCCAGTTGGTTGGTTCTGGGGAGGCAGACACCCTTCCATATTTAAGAGTGTTAAGACGTTCCTCTTTGATTAAAGCTTACTAGTTAGGGCTGGATTTTTTTTTTCAGGGGTGAGCTCCTGAACCATCTCTTAGTTATGCTGCTATAGGCCTAGACTATCGTTGGGCGATTCCCATGGCTGCACTTGAGCTCCTCTCTTCCTCGTCTCTTCTCTTTCTCACTCATTCATGCTCCATTAATGCATGTTTACATAATTCACTCTTCCCGGATTTCTTGTGCTTTATCGTCCTGCAGGTTCTCATGGATCCTGGTGGGAGCTCCTTGCCATGGTCCTGCTGGACTGCATTGCGTAATATCACTGATATTATTGATTATATTATCTAGTTATATTAAGTATTATTATTGCTATCATTACTGTTGTCGCTGCTCGCTGTCCCCCATTCGTGCTGCTGTCGTCGCGTCGTCTTTTCATGATCGTCATCGATCATCTTTACTATATCGTAGTAGTTGTTTGCTACTGTTGTTTGCTGTACATCTGTCTCTCTCTCTCTCTCTCTCCTCTCTCTGTCTCTTCTCTTCTCTGTCTCTCTCTGTCTCTCTTCTCTCCTTTCTCCCCAACTGGTTCAATGGCAGAACGACCACACCACCTAGAGCGAAGGGTCTGTCCTAGGTTTCTGCCTGTTAAAAGGCAGTTTTCCTTGACCCCTGTCTCCAAGGTCTTGCTCATTGGTGGTACTGTTGGGCTCTCTGTAAATGTTATAAAGGAGTTTCGGTCTAGGACTGGCTCTATTTGAAAAGTGTTCCTGGGAGATACTTCTGTTATGAATTGTTGCGCTTTACAAATAAAATTGAATTTGAATGTGAATCAAAAGTTGAATGGGTTTACACAAACGTTCATTT